CGGTGTCTGTGTTCCTTGTACTTTCAAAATCAAGACCCAGAAACTGCTGGAATCCTTGTGATTTAAATGTGGCAGACTGCTTACTCTCCATTTCCTCTGGCTGGCCTTTTTTGTTTTCAGAAAGTTTCTGTGCAGTTGCAGAAATACTTACTTTAGGGGCATTGTAGCCAACAGAAAAAGTCCTCAAGAACAAATTGATTATGAATTCATTCACATCACCTCCAGTTTCGGAGAAGTCTTCTTTCATAAGCGTTCTCCCGGCCCTTGGGGTCTATCACCACAATATTTCTGTGGTCTGACCTGACAACCTATTGGAAACCAGAAGTACATACTGTTACGGATTTGGCGAGTTGTGAGATGAAATATTTAAAGGGATTTATTTAGGTGTGACGCTATATATATATATATATATATATATATATATATATATGTGTGTTTGAGGGGGAGATGGAGACATCCAAGATACACATAAATATAATAAAACAAGTTGGATTCATGTAGTATTAGAAATAAAGTTAACATACCACTAAGAGCCAGTGACCTCCCACATTTACAGGGCAAATGCAAATGGAGGCCTCTGGTAGCGCCATCTTTTGAAATGACAGAAAAACCCTTAAGCTTAGCTCTTGTTCATATGGTGTAAGATATCATAGCAAATAATTACTTTAAGAACAGCCTGATATGGCCCACGGTGAAAGATTGATGATGCCACAACAGCATCCATTCTCTCTACTGGTATCTGAAATAGAAAATATAATTTTTACAAGAGAAATGGATAAAAGATTTCCTAAAGAGAATCTTTATATCATACATTATATATAGTGTACATGGAACACTGGTATTACACTCTAAGAAATAAAATGTTAAATTTAATTGATAAAGTTAAGGCTATCTTTTCCACAAAACTCTATCAATTAAGCATAAAACAATATGGTTATCTGCAATCTCAATGGTCACCTATCTGAAGTGAAATTGCCATATAAAGGCTATAGCTTTGCACAATTTTCATTACTTAACATCATTAATTAGAATGTAATCACACTTTGTTCATTTTATTGACAGTATTACTTTGGATTTAATTGACAATATTCATCTTAATTAATTGGATTAATTATGATTTAATTAATTATATTGTTTATATGCTAAATGTTTAGGTGTAGTTAAAATGAGTGTAAAAAGGTTCCTGAGTTGTCATCTGTACTCTGTAGTGAAGGT